TCATTACACAGTGTGGCTCTAATTCCTCACTTCACCATCTGTGTCGCAGTTTCACATCTCCAAAATGAGCGTACGAATGGGTCACAGCTGGTGTGAGGCACCGCACATCTTCACGTCAAGTTTGGATTTTATAAATCACAACCTTGGCGTGAAAAGTGGCGTACGCAAGTTTCTGGGCTCAAATTGTGCGTACGCCAGTTTTATAAATCCGACCCCTGATCTGGTGAGTCCAGGGTCAGAGGTCTTCAGACAAATATCCAGTCTTCACAAGCGGCCAAGTCCAAGACTGAGATCATGTAGTGTGAGGTCATTGGCATGTGACAAAAACAAGAGGCGTATTCCCTCACTGGCCAGAAGGGCGGCTCCAGGKGCGACCATCTTTGAGGGATTGTTGAAACCACAACTTTCATAAAGTAAGTTTCCCACCCTGACAATGTGTTGAAAGAGAATATTTCCCTGTTGAGTCATAAGTTTGTTTAAATAACTGAAAATGTTTAAAATTACATTTTGTTAAGTGGCTGACATAATCTGTAATTTGATCAACTGTTTTGTTTTACATCTTTGGGTTTTATTTTTCATCCAGGTGTGGCTGGTAGTGACTGTACAGGGGGAAATGCTGGAAGCAGTGCAGGTGGCCAAAACCTGAAAAAAAGTGTCTGATTTTAAAGTTTATTCACTTCTGGAGTTTCACTGTCCGTATGACAGTTTGGTTTACTTTAATATTTTGGGGTCGCAATACAAGTTATCAATAAGTCAGCTGGATGTAAAATGATTATGTGGCTGTTGGTAGTGACTCTTATTTTCAGTTTCAGCAAACCTTTGCCCCACACAATCTCCATCCGTCCGTTTTCTGCTGCTTATCTGGACTCGGGTTGCGGGGGCAGCAGCCTAAACAGAGAGACCCGGACTTCCTTCTGCCCACCCACTTGGACCAGCTTGTCCAGGGGAATTCCAAGGCGTTCCCAGGCCAGCCGAGAAGTATGTCCCTCCAGCGTGTCCTGGGTCTTCCTCTGGGTCTCCTTCCAGTGGGACGTGCCCGGAACACCTCACCAGGAGACATCTAGGAGACATCCTAACCTGGTGCCCTAGCCACCTCAGCTGGCTCCTCTTGACGTGGAGGAGCAGACACACACAACCTTAAGCCGCCCAATCTACCGGAGGCGTCTTACCGGAGGAAAGCAGTTCTTGGGTCGAGCTAGGAGGCATTCCATCGGAGGAAGAGCAATTCCTCGGGCTTGTACACTGAGCATATACAGTAGTTGACACCTAGAGAAATTGATGTACATCACACATATAGGAAGCCGGGGCAAATTGTGAAAAAAAGGACTCAAAGACCTCGGCGAATTGCATTCACACCTGGTGGTTAGATCTACCAGGCAACAAGAACCTCCAACATCTCCAGGAGGAGGTGGGGTTCCAACAACCTCGGGGTAACCACAGTACCCACAGGCAACAAACATTTGTTCAACCTAAGAACCTCTCTCTGATGGTGCGTTCACACCGAACGCGATTTCAGCGTCAGGAGCAGCAGGTTTACATACAAAGTCTATGGTGGACGCGCTTCAAGCAACGTCGGGAAGTTCTGCGGCGCCTCAAGCGCKATTAGAGCAGCACGATTTGGACGATTTGGACGATCTGAGCGTCGAACGCTCAGATCGTCCAAATCGTCCAAATCGCTGAAGTTGGGAAATCTGAACTTTTGCAGCTCGACGCGCAGCGTCAACCAATCAGAGAGACTCCACTGTGTGACGTAGTGACATATTTCCCGACGGGACAGTTTACTGAATGATGTCCACTAACCTGAAACAGACAGATCTCCTGCTCTTTAGCTGAAATGAGTGCTGCAGTCGTGTCCTGATCCGCAGCAATGCGTGGCAGCGACTCATCAGACTGAAAAAAATAGTCCTGAAAGCGAGCTGTGAGCCTCTTCTCTGAATTATCTGGTGAATTAATTATGAATTAATTATCTGATGAACGTGACACGTTCTGGCTGTCTGTAAATAAAGCAAAGCCACTTCCTCGTCCGACATTAAACAGCCCCACAGAGGAGGGAGGGGCGGGGCGGCTGTCGCCGTGCAGCGCAGCTGTCCTGCGTCTGACCTCAAAGTGCACAAGCTTCAAACTTCAGCGTTGGCTGCGATTTTGACGCTGAAATCGCGTTCGGTGTGAACGCACCATGAGAGAGTTCCAATGCCGCACACCTGCCTTGGGCCAAGAGCAGGGGAACTTTGAAACGCCAACGTTACAGGGATAAAAAATTGTAAACATTTAACAGTCCCACCGAACTGTAAGAATTGTTGTTAAGGGTTTTTACTGTTGTTTAATCTTAACATTGTGTATTTTTCTTGTTTCAGAAAAAAAAGGGTTTTGAGTTAATCATTCACTAAGGTTTTAACTAGAAATAAARTAAATTTAAATAAAKCTAAAACTTTAAAGGTTAAAGAGTTAAACATAACRTTATTTTAAATCAATAATAACATAAATCTAAAACTCTAAAGGTTAAATAAATAATAATAATATAAAGTTAAAAATTTTAAAGTTAAAATATTCAAAACTACAAAAGCGAAGCATTATTTTAAATAAATAGAAACGAATCAGGCCTAARATAGAAACAGTCTCAATATGAGACCGTTTGGAAATCTGGAGGCGAAAAACACGTCTCTCCCTATAATGAAGGGAAGTTGGAAGTGGTCCTGGAGGACACATGGTATTGATCTCTGTGTTAGCAGAGATCAAGAGAGGGAGTGGTGGAAATGTGGAACACTTTTAACTATATTTTGTGTTCTGTTAATAATCAGTTCATCATGTGTTCAAAGTTTTAAAATAAGTAATTTTATAGAATTGATCAATGTAATGACCTGCTTACTTTCACTGTGTGTGTGTCACTCTGGTCAAAAACATGTTTGGTGATCGGGGTCAGGGTCCAGTTTCCTCGCCCACTTACTGTGCAAATACGTGTCAGGCTGACATCCGGATCCTGTGCAGGTTGCTCAGAAATTACATAAGAATGAGGCTTCAGTATAAAATGTCAAGAGTTACAGAAGTTAGATGAGACGCTTGATGATCGAAGGGAAGTATCGGTCTGGTGTTCTCCCAGATTTGCACATCTGTTTCTGTGGGTTTTTACATGTAATCTTTAATCAATTCTGTAAAACTTTAAAGGTGTCTCCGACTAAATCTCTCCGAAATCCCAACGGACCTGGGTAAGAGCAACTGGCTCTTAACAGACAACATGCAACAACTAATTCTTCATCATTTTTAGAAGAGAAAATCATAAAAACAACAGAAGTTTCAGATTATTCCCAAACATGGAATGAGATCAGCTGAGGATGGATGTTTAAGCCTGATCTGACTGGAGTCAAACACGCAGTGTAGCACACTCACAATGAGGAGGAGGACAATGATTTATTGAAAACCAAGATGTCTTTTGGTGTCCTGCTTTAGTGTTTCTTACCTTGCCATTGAGCCTGAGTCCCATGCTTTCAGATCAGTACCCAAACACAGCCGGTCTCTTTCTGTCATCACCCCTAAGAGGAGACACGTGCACATAGAAGGGCTTTAATTCACTTTTACATAACGGCACTCTAATAAACGCTGGGGTATGTTTTAACCTCGAGCATGTTTACTCTGTGAAGACTGAAGCAGTGAACATTTTGACACAGGAACACCATCTTCTCGCGCTCCCACTGCGCTCATCCGCTATTTCTCAAATTAAAAATAGCATCGCACAGATACGTGTCGCACAGCACCTACCATCCTGCGTGCGTGAATTTGTAAAGAGCCCAGCGTTTCTGCTGCTTTTACCTTGTCGTGGTGCTGGCGGTGGTCTCAGTCTGATGGCTCCCTCCCTCCTCTTTCTCTTCCATCTTTCTGCGCCACTTACTGACGTCACCGCCGCGTCCCTCACTGCAGCACTGGACCAGTATAAAATAATTATCGTATTTTTTTAGATAGGTTGGGGGGGACCTATATTACATACGAGATAGTTTTTGAAAGCCCACGCATGTGATAGCTTTGGCATTTCCGTGCGCAGGATTTTTATTTTTTTCTTTTTAATCACATTCCTATGCCCGACAAGCTCACAAACCCCCTCCCGTTCTGGACTCACCAGTCCCCACCGCAGCTAACCAAAGCAGACCACCATCACCACTGAAGAAAGCGTACCCTCACTCCACACATATGATAGCTTTGCTCAAAATATAATACATTTTGAAGCCACAGTACAATAGTTCGTCATTTCTTACCTGGCAACCCTCCTGATGGCTCAACTTTCGCTTTAACAGGAAAGTTTATGACTCTTGGCAGGTTTATATTTGTCGTTCGACCCGCTCCCGTGGTCTGAAGTGCTTTAATTTATTTAAATCTCAGCAACACAAACCAAATTCATGCCACCTTCCAGAGTTAAACACAAAAAAACATGCGAAACACGTTTTGAGCGTCGTTCCGTTACTTAAACCACAGTCAAGTGAGCCACATTCACCCACAGTCCTTTCAAAATAAACTTCCGTGTTTACCGGAAACTTAAAAAAGCATTGCGTTTTTTATTTTTGATGAAATCGCTTTTTAATATACAGCAAATAATAAACTGACATTTATAATATTTTATGCTATCTTGAACATCCTATTTATTGTACAAATTATGCTGCAGTACATATAAGGTAGGCTTAGTCTGTTTTTATTGGTTATGGGGAAAATATACATGAATCAGTTTTAACCTGTTTGTTGCTTCATGATAACAGAAAATGGATTTCTGAGCCAGTATACCAATCGTTTATGGCATGTGTTTCTACCTTAAGTAAGGAAGTAAGTAAGTAATTCTACCTTAAGTAAGTAAGTAAGTAAGTAAGTAAGTAAGTAAGTAAGTAAGTAAGTAATTCTACCTTAAGTAAGTAAGTAAGTAAGTAAGTAAGTAAGTAAGTAAGTAAGTAAGTAATTCTACCTTAAGTAAGTAAGTAAGTAAGTAAGTAAGTAAGTAAGTAAGTAAGTAAGTAAGTAAGTAAGTAAGTAAAAAAATATGCTTTAGATTTCGTGTTCTTTGTAGCTGTCATCACTGTTGGAGAAAAAAAAGAGAAAATGACAACAGTTGTAAATAAACCCTAGATGAGTTACAACACTGTTCTTCCTGTTTTCAGTTGTTCTTTTAAAATGTTTCATTTGATCTCACATTTTGCATTTTAATCATTTTCAGTCCAGTTTTTTTTATCAGAAGACAATATTTTGAACAGTGCCTCAAACTAAGAAAAATAAAATCCCTAAAAGAACTCCAGCTGATAAACATCATCAAAAGTCTTCAAGAAACAGTGTTTCTGTTAAACTGACCAACCATGAACCATTTTAAAAAATAATTTATAGCTACTGTTTTAGTCCTAAAGCAGTGACTTCTAAATATAATTTGATTTCTGATTATGACTCCTACTTGATGTTTACTGAACCACAGTGGAGTCATGATCCCAGCTTTGGGATCCACTGATGCAGGCCTACTGGTTTTCAAGTTTTCAGCTTATACCATCTTGGGAATCATGTTGTCAGTATTGAAATACAAGTTTTTTTTCTCAAATTGTGTTATCTCCCCCCAGATTTAACTAAAGAAAAGGGAAACAAATTGTGTCTTTGTGACAGACTGCAAGAAACAGTGTCTAAAAATCCTATTTAAAATGTTTTCCTATGGTTTCCCCCAGTTTAATGACTTCTGCATACTTTGTGCTATTAGCCATTCATATAGTGTTGGAGTCAGAGCCAGTCAATTTTCTCAGAGGTGGCCCAGAAAATGACCATTTGTTTCCTGACATTACAAGTTTTTCTTGGTTCTTCTCTTATTTATTCATGGCAGTGATTAGCCATGAATTACAGCATGAAGACCTGCAATATCTCCCTAATGTATTCCTAAACCCCTTCAAATTAATCAGTACTTTGTAACGGTTGTGAATGTTCTACTTTTTAGTTGGTGGGATTTTTCACAATATTTCCACAATTCAGAACTAAAGTGTTGCTTAAGACACATTTACTAAACAAACTTGTGTTGGTTGACTTTCAAAGTGTATTACTGCCACCGCCTGTTCAGGTGGAGAAAACCTTGTGTGAGAAGTGACTTGAACGCCTGCACACAGGAACGGTTTTGCGAAAGCGTTGCTGACAAAACTGCGGATGGGGTGGTACATCTACCTGGACCACCATTGGCCACCCACTGGCTCCAACTTTGCATGTATGGAAACTTCATGTCATTCAGGAGATGAGCGTTATGACCATTGATTTATTTTTTTCTCCTTTTTTAAAATGTTTATCTTTATTTACCAGAGTAAATACAAATATGAATATGATATTTACACATTTCCTTATGGTTCTCCTTGCAGTCTGCTTCAGTATAATATCAATTTTTGCCATACGATGCTTGTAGGTCCTTGCTCTTTTAGCTTTTTCAGCTTCTTCAGTAAATTTTAGACAACTAATTTAGCACTGCATTTTTACAGAATGTCTATTTTTTAGTTTAACTGGATTTTTTTTGCCAATTTTTCTGATGTTTCGACACAACATGGTTCATCGCTTTGGTTTAGGAGCCTTGAATGGTTTAGAGTTCTGAGTTACAGCGGGTAAAATAAGAATTGAACACGTCAACGTTTTTCTCAGTAAATATATTACTAGAGGTGCTAATGACATGAAAATTTCACCAGATGTTGGTAACAACCCAAGTGATCCATACATACAAAGAAATCAAACCATGAATGTCCAGAAATGAAGTTATTTGCAATAATGTGGA